GAAACGAAGGATTAAAAAAACCGACATGGAACGGTGCAGTGTGTAAATGCTTGTCTGCTAACCTCAAGGTGGTGAGTTGGAACCTACCCTACTGTGCAGCGAAGAAAAGGCCTGGCGATCTGCCCCATTATAGATTACCCACTTACTGCCCTGGGTCTATTCCAACCATAGTGGCCCTATGTTGTTGTTAAGCACCATCTACTCTCTTTGGACTCAGTGACCGTGTATAAGATTTCTTAGGAGCAGCAGGTGAGTTAGCAGTCCAGTGCTTATCCTACAGCACCACACCAGGACTCATAGTGACCCTGCATTGTCATTGTTGTTAAGTGCCATCGAGTCAGTTCTGACTCTTAGTGACCCTGTATAGGGTTTCCAAGGAGCAGCTGGTGAGCTTGAATCACCGATTTTGCTGTTCAAACCGACTTTGCAGGCCAGCACATTAACCCACAGCACCACACCAGGATTCCTTGTTGTTGTTAACTGCCGTCGAGTCAGTTCTGACTCATAGCAACCCTGTATAGGTTTTCCAAGGAGCTGCTGATGGGTTTGAACCTCCAACCTTGCAGTTAGCAGCCCCTGATGGTCCTATAAAGCTACACCAGGACTCCAGTAACCCGGTGGTGGTGCTGTACGGCAGAGTCAGTTTCTGTGTAGGAACCCTGTATAGCGTTTCCAAGGCTGTAAATCTTTACAGACGCTGACAGCCTTATCTTTCTCCCTTGGCTGGATGGCTGGTGGATTAGGACTTTGGACCGTTTATGTAGAATGCCAACCCTTAACCCATTGTGCAATCAGAGGTACCTCCCCTTAAAGAGGTAGCCTTGAAAAATCTGAGCTGGGATTACAATGAATTGGAATCAGCTTTGTTGTTGTTATGTACCATGGAGTTGGTTCTGACTCATAGTGACCCTACACAGGGTTTCCGAGGCTGCAAATCTTTATAGGAGTAGAAAGCCTCATCTTTCTTCTGCGGAAAAGCTAGCAATTTCGAACTGCCGACCTTGAGGTTAGCAGCCCGATTTGTAACCAGAGCTCCTTTGGAATCAGCTAGAAGACACATAGCACTCGTATACAACTTGGTGCCTTTCTTTGCACCAAGCCATTTGATACTTGTTTCTCAGTGTCTTGGTGTGGCAATGTGGGCTAATGCATCAAGTCAGTTTGAACTGCAAGGTCTGTAGTTCAAGCTCACCAGCTGCTCCTTGGAAACCCTCTACAGTGTCGCTGTGGGTCAGAATCTACTCCATGGCACTTAACAACAAGAACTCATGTTTCTCAGTCGCGGAAACATTTTTTTTTCTGCCTTTTGTTTTGCAGGGACTTTTATAGGCTTCTGCTCACTAGCTGTTTGCTTCTGAGACCCTGTGAGCTCCAAGCAGACAAAACCTCTAAACCCAACATTCTCTTGATCCTGGCTGACGACCTTGGCATCGGAGATCTTGGTTGCTATGGAAATGACACGCTGAGGTAAAGTTAGTGGTGTGTAACCTGAGGCTTCACAAAGTTCAAGGGAGAAATGGAATGAAAAGATAATGGGATTTTCTCAGAAAGGTTCAAAGCCTCCTTATATGAATGTGTGTCTACATTCTGCCTGTAGAAATTGGCAGGTTTCCCAGCAGAAAAAGAGACCCCTGGAGTTATCAAACAAGTGTGGGACTGTTGTAGGAACTGTATGGGTCTCCTGGGACTGTCACAGAAGTACCACAAATGGGTTCACTGAAAGGAGCCCTGGTAGCTCGGGGGTTAAGGCAGTAGGCTGCTAACCAAAACACTGGCAGTTCAAACCCACCAGCTGCTGCTTGAGAGAGAAAGATGAGACACTCAGCTTCTATAGAGATGACAACTGTGTGAGGCAGTTCTGACTGTCCCAATGGGTAGCTAGGTGTCAGAATTCACTGGTCTCAGAGCCCATGGATTTGCTTTTGTTTGGGTAACAACAAAAAAAGATTTCTTCGCCCTTCTCAAGATAGTTAGACATAGCGTTAGACAGAGCATCTGCCTGGAGCCGCCACTCACCTTCCGCTACAAATTCTACCAACAAGACTTTTGTAATCATTTTGTCAAAAGGGTAAATCTCCTTAGCATACAAGCAATGAAAACCAGAGAGCAAAAGACCAATATATTTGGCTACATAAAATATTTTTTTACTTTTAAATGTCAAAATACACAAGCAAAATTAAAAGCAATAAAAAAATTTAAAAAACGGAGTAATGGAATCCTGGTGTGGCCTCATAGGATAAGCACTTGACGTCAAGATCAGTTTGAACCACAAGATTGGTGGTTCAAACCCACCGGCTGCTCCATGAGAGAGGGAGACGATGCAGTCATTTTCTGTAAAGATGACAGACTTGGAGACGCTACATAATGTTGATGTTGTACTTTGTTTCAGCATGTAATTTAACAAAAACAATTATTCCCCAAAGAAATATTTATAAACATGCTGATCATAAAAGACAATAATAATGAAAAGTAAAAACAAAAAAAAAACACACACACGTTTATTCTCTCCCAGTTCTGGAGAGCAGAGTCCTAGCTTGGTGCTGTAGGATAAACACTTGGTCTCATGGTCAGATTGAACTGCAAGGTCGGCGGTTCAAACTCAGCAGCCATTCCTTGGAAACCATATACAGGGTCACTATGAGTCGGAACCTACTCAAGGGCACTTAGCAACAACAACAACAACAACAACGGATATGACCGCAATTCTGAGATTGGAGTGTGTGGGTTTGGCTACACTCCTTCCGGAGCCTCTAGGGGAGGTTCTCTCCCAGCTCCTGGTGGCCGCAGGTACTCATTCCTGGGCTTGTGGTCGCATCTCTCCCATCTCTGCCTCATCTTCACACGGCCGGCTCCCCTCTATGTCTCCTCTCCTCTTTTATAGGGGCATCACTCGTATAGGATCAGGTCCCGCCTGACCTCATGTTAAATGAATTATATCTGCAAAGACACAGGTGTGAGATCCAGGTGTGGGCAGGGCTGGCTCCCTCTGGAGGATCTAGGGAAGGGTCCTCCCTGGTCTCTTCCACCTTCTGATGGTTCCAGGTGTTTCTGGGCATGTGGCTGCATCTCTCGCATCTCTGTCTCTGCCTTCACGTGGCATTTACTGTCTTTTCCTGAGATTTGTCATCTTATATCTTTTGGATGTAGGACCCAACCTAATAATCTATGAAGGTGTCATTTCAAGATTCTAAACTTATCACTTTCCAAACATAGTCTCATTCATAAAGGTTCCTGGGGTTAGGACTTGGGTGTATCTTTGGAGGAACACAATTCTACCCAGTACTCCCACAGTGACACAAATGGTGAAACTCTTCACAGCTAAGCATAAGGTTAGAGGTTTGAGTCCACCCAAACATGCCTCAGCGATAGCCTGGCTATCTCCTTATAAAACAAAATCATCCATTGAGAACTCTGTGGATCACAGATCTACTCTGACACTTGTTGATTACTGTTAGTCAGAATCCACTAGATGCAATGGGAATGATATTTGGTTTGTGTCCGCCAGTGTCTTCCCCACCCCACACCCTGCTTTGCAACTGACGTTCATGTGGTTTCTCCAGGACACCAAATATTGACCGACTTGCTGAGGAAGGAGTGAGGTTCACCCAGCACTTGGCAGCTGCACCCCTCTGCACCCCGAGTCGAGCTGCTTTCCTCACCGGGAGACACTCCTTCCGGTCTGGTGGGTGTCCTTGGAACCAGGGGGCAGTAACATCTGTGTCTCCTTATCAGATTGTCTCTCAGTGGGGTAGGACAGTTAAAATGAAGGGGAACATGGGAAAAGATCACTTATCACTGAATCATCTCCTTCCAATTGACATTTGGTTCAGGATTAGCGTCTGGGGTGACCCTGTGCACTGTAGGGTGTGGAGCAGCATCCCTCGTCTCCACCCACTGGTCATTCTCTGTGGTGGGGCCATCCTGTGCACTGTAGGGTATGGGGCAGCATCCCTGGTCTCCACCCACTGGTCACTCTCTGTGGTGGGGACCATCCTGTACACTGTAGGGTGTGGGACAGCATCCCTGGTCTCCACCCACTGGTCATTCTCTGTGGTGGGGACCATTCTGTGTACTGTAGGGTGTGGAGCAGCATCCCTGGTCTCCACCCACTGGTCACTCTCTGTGGTGGGGACCGTCCTGTACACTGTAGGGTGTGGGACAGCATCCCTGGTCTCCACCCACTGGTCATTCTCTGTGGTGGGGACCGTCCTATACACTGTAGGGTGTGGAGCAGCAGC